TGCAGATTGTTTATGATTTTATATTATCCTGCAGTGGACCTACACAAGAAGACGTCATTGCGGAAAGTGAAAAGATCAGCCGTCCAGAACCCGAGATTAAAAGGCAAGGTTTTTTATTAACATTACTGTGTCAATAGTGGACGATTTCGGCGGCCATTTTGACGCGTAGGCAAATTGTCGAAATGTAACAAGAACAAAGTGAGAAATCAATGTCAAATAATTCCTGTTTCATTCCAATTCCGAAAGAATCATTAATTCCAAACGTTAGACAATACACAAAGGAATTTTTCAACCAGTGGTTAGGATCTCTCTATTTTACCGAACAATTCAATGGCAAAGCAAGCTATATTATTCATGTCCAAGTTTCTACTTAACTAAACTTTTTTCATCCCTAGATACTGTTTGAAATTTCAGAAAAATCTTTTGTGTCCATTTACAAATGCAGCTATTCAAACCTATCGCAAAATCATGCAAAATAAATACTTACACTTTTGGAAAACTAACTTGAGAAATCCAGAAAGGAATTCTACAAATCCTTTAATAGAAATTATAAAGAATTGTATTTACCAAATTTAGAATAAGTAATCACCAGTTATCTATTAAAACAAGCCGATATCTACCGCAAAAAAAAACAAGTTGAACAGAGAATCTGTATTTTTTTTGCGATAGAAATTAAGTAGAAACAGAGGGACATCAATAATGTTCATTATACAACAACTGCATGCTTTGTTTAATTCAGATAAGGAAAATGATCAGTATCTATTATCTATCAAAATTTGTAAACAAATGTTTTCAACTTTCTGATATTCAAAATTGTAATTACATGTAAAATATAACATTCATTGTAAATTCTTGTGTATTTTGTTCCTGTTATATTGTAATGCTTTAGCAATACCTGTAAAGTTATAGGTCATGACTTTGATGACTCACTACTATTTACAGGTAAACATTCAAGGGACAATAGACCTAATCGGCTAACGGCGTTGCTACCCAATTCAAATCCTGTGGGAAAAAGAACTTTTGTTTCTAAGAATTCAACAGTGAAATGAAAATACAACGAACAATGAAACTTACTCCCGGGTGGTTTGAATTGGGTTGAAGCCGATTAGGTCTATTAACTATCGTAAGACAGCTAACGAACTATCAGTATATATTTTGATGCTTCATAACAGGGATTAACTGGCCACTAAGATGTTTAGGGAGCGAGCAAACTCATTTTTTAGTTCTCCATGCATTTCTTTGTATTTTTCACTCTCGTCACGCTCTCCATGACCCTGGAAAACACAATGAAATTTGACGTCAATTTTTTGTATAATTGTTACATTGCCTACTCGTCAAAATGACTGCTATACTTCAACAATTGAGATATCCATCTAATCTTGTCATTGTGATAAACTCTGTCTTGTT